AGCTGCTCACTCAGGAAGGAGGAGAGACAGCCGCTCACTCAGGAAGGAGGAGAGACAGCCGCTCACTCAGGAAGGAGAGACAGCCGCTCACTCAGGAAGGAGAGACAGCCGCTCACTCAGGAAGGAGAGACAGCCGCTCACTCAGAAGGCGGAGAGACAGCCGCTCACTCAAGCAGGAGGAGAGACAGCCGCTCACTCAGGAAGGAGAGACAGCCACTCACTCAGGAAGGAGGAGAGACAGCCGCTCACTCAGGAAGGAGAGACAGCCGCTCACTCAGCAGGAGGAGAGACAGCCGCTCACTCAGGAAGGAGAGACAGCCGCTCACTCAGCAGGAGGAGAGACAGCCGCTCACTCATCAGGAGGAGATACAGCTCAGCCTCTCTGGGAAGTTTTGAGTCTTTCAGCACCAGGGCTGTTATCCTAAACACGGATTCTGTTGTGCTATAATTCCTGGCACACGCTACCTCTTGGGGAACTCTGAAGGGAAACCCTCATCTCCTCTCCCCATTAGCTTTATGAGGAGGGGAGAGGAGGTATCACTTCCATTTTACAGGAAGGAAAGGCCCCCATGCAAAGTGCAGGACAGGCACTGGCAGCAGAAACCGCCCGGAAAATCCCTCCCTGACCGAGCGAGGCAGGACGATGCTCTGGGTTCCCGGGCAGGATGCTAAGCACGCATTTATTCTCGTGTACACATCAAAGCACATTTCCCCTACAGATGGGTCTTGTGGGGTTATTTCCATGATCTCTACGCGAATAACTCTATCTTGCATTTGCACAGTATTTTAAAAATCACAATATCTGGTAGTTATATTGCTCCTTATTTTAATTCCTATATTTGTTCTATCAAACATCCTACTTTATAATTACAAAGCACTTTCATAGATACTAACTCATTTCTTTCTTTATTCCCCTTTTTGCTGGATTTGTCAGGGCGACACTGATTAACAAAATTACACGTTTCAAAATCACACAATTCCACAACACGTCACTGTGCACTGTTCCACCCCAACCAAGTCCCGGCCCATCACCATGTATTCCCCTCCCCTCCTCAGCTCATTAACTCTGGCAGTAATCCCAGTGAGGCCAAAGAGGAGAGAGAGTCACTGCTATTTAAAAACTGGTGGTGGAGGCTCCAACACTGGTGTCTGAGCAACCTCACAGGCTGGAGGCTGATGGAGAGCATCATGTCACCGACTCTAACCCACACAGCTAGACCACACCCACACCTGCAATACCGAGACCAACCTCTTAGGAACCGACAGAATGGCTCTGAACTGTTTTTCACAAGTCCCCGGAAATTAGTTTTCCAGGAGACACTCGGAAAGCAGTGATTAGAACAGGGCCAGTCCCTGATTCTCCGCATGGAGTGAGGCTTGAGTTGCTGGAGTGATTTTTCAAAGGCAGTTATTACAGCTGCCAGGAGGCAGAAGTGCGTAATGGGTGCTTAAATATAGTTCAGCACTTTTAATTATTTTTAACGATCATTTCAACAATTTCCAAGGAGATTTAGCATAATCAACGAACCAAAACTTGCACGGTTGCTTGCATATTTCTAGGCTAATGTCAGCCTTTCCTGCGAGTGTAATTAGCTTTCGAGTGAAGTAGACAGTCTCGAGCACAGGGTGGGAATGTGCAAAGCGGGATCAAACCCGCAGAGGCTGGCTGTGTGCTAATGAGGAGGACGTGCAGGAGGCCAGAGCTCCGAGGGGAGGGTGGCAACCCTCCCGTTTTCAGGGTGGCGGGGGGGTGGGGGAGCTGTTTGCAGGGCTGCTGGGAGCACTGCGACACCCAAAGTAACTGCCATTTGTTCTGGGAAAACTCCTGGATGATCTGTGAAGCATCCCCGCTCCCCCTAGAGGAGGCAGTCCCCTAACCCCCCACGAGGACTAGGCAGGTCGCAAACTCCGAGCCCTGGCGTTTCTTCTTACTCAGGCAACCTCCACAGAGCAGTCCTGTTTCTTTCCGGGGACTGCAGTGGTTTGTGGAAACAACAAGCAAAAACCAGGCGAATTTCAGATTTCTAAGATCTGGTCAGTGACAGCATCCATCTCTGTCATTGTCAACTAGGACTCCAACCCCCTCTTCAAAGCCGAGCAAAAAAGCCCGTGGCCTCTGCCTTCTCCTTTCTGCTCCGCCTGTCCTGCTCTCCCGCAGCTGTGCCCCCTTCTGCCCAGTGACGGGTGCGGGTGCGACATGGGGGAGACACCAGCCAAAGAGGCACGAGGGCCCCTCTGAGGCCGGCAGGCCCACTGCCAGGGCACTGCGGGCAGTCACTGCAGGTGCCTCTCGCGCAGGGTCCTGTGTGCATTTCCATTCTAACACGCCTGTGGTTTCATGTCACCAAGCCACCTGCTTCCGGGCCTGGCTGTGGGATTGCATGTTCGCTTTCCATCCCAGCACCGCCTCTGACAGCTCCCCGCGCTCCTCCCGGTCTCCCCGGACCCGGTGACCGTGCCCTCTTTCCTGACCTTCCGTGAGCTTCCATGAAGCCAGCTTCTGTGACGCGCGGCTCCCACAGACGGGCCTCCAGTCCCCCCTCTCCCGTACCAGGCTGGTCCCACCGCCGCCCGGCCGCCCTGGGAGCCCCACACTCGGCTGGACAGGGCCTCGCCGTTTGCCCGGCAGCCGCCGGAATGCCACGCTCTGTCCTGCCTCCGCCCCATGTGCCATCAGGCTTTCTGAAGGTCATCCCGCCCGCCTGCCAGCCCGCCTTCTCCATTGCCACCTCCCGGCCTTCGCCCCCCTTCCGAGAGGTGGCACGTTTTGGAGTTACGCGTTTATGTCTTGTCATTTATTGTTTATTTCATTGGTTTATTGCTTGTCTCTTCCATCAGGCGGTGATTCTCAACTTGGGCTGTATTTTAGAATTGCCTGGGAGCTTTTAAAATATACTTGTTTTTTAATTTGCTCTTTAGAGAGAGAGGAAGGAAGAGAGAGAGATAGAAACACCAATGAGAAACTTCACCAATGGGCTGCCTCCTGCACACTCCCTGCTGGGGATCGAGCAGGGACCTCGTGCTTCCTGAGTGGATGCTCCACCGCTGAGCCACACCGACTGGGGAAGACTCATCTGCTGTGTGGGCCCCACCAGACCAGCAGGGTGCAGGCTGGAGCCAGACCTCGAACCGCAGGCCAGTCTGATGACACCGATGAATAGCCTGGCATGGACCGAGTCCCCGGAGGACAAGAACGCCTTTTTATTTTATGTTTTCCCTGCGATTGTCCCCAGAGCCCAGCACGGTGCCTGGCCCGTCGTGTTCCAGACATTCCAGGAGTTTCATTGATTGAACAGTACTGAGGCCTTCGAGCTGTCTTTCCTGTGCTCTGCGGGTCCGCTCCCTGCTCCCAGCTCCCAGCTCCCAGCTCCCTGCTCCCTGCTCCCAGCTCCCTGCTCCCTGCTCCCAGCTCCCTGCTCCCAGCTCCCTGCTCCCTGCTCCCTGCTCCCAGCTCCCTGCTCCCTGCTCCCTGCTCCCAGCTCCCTGCTCCCTGCTCCCAGCTCCCTGCTCCCTGCTCCCTGCTCCCTGCTCCCAGCTCCCTGCTCCCTGCTCCCAGCTCCCAGCTCCCTGCTCCCTGCTCCCTGCTCCCTGCTCCCTGCTCCCAGCTCCCTGCTCCCTGCTCCCAGCTCCCTTCTCCCTGCTCCCTGCTCCCTGCTCCCTGCTCCCTGCTCCCAGCTCCCTGCTCCCTGCTCCCTGCTCCCAGCTCCCTGCTCCCTGCTCCCTGCTCCCAGCTCCCTGCTCCCTGCTCCCAGCTCCCTGCTCCCAGCTCCCTGCTCCCTGCTCCCAGCTCCCTGCTCCCAGCTCCCTGCTCCCTGCTCCCAGCTCCCTGCTCCCTGCTCCCTGCTCCCTGCTCCCTGCCCTCCTGCCTTTGAACCGCGCATTTCCTCTGCTTTCCATTTTGTTATTGTCCTGACTATGGGTTTAGTCTCTTAAAACATAAGACCCAAAATCCTCACCTTCCCTCCCGCACGTTAGTCTCAGAGATGTGGGGAAATGTTCGCTTACAGGAAACACTAGCAAATGTTCAAAAACGGACCACGATGTTCGGGACTGAAGGATGATGCAGCTCTAAAGCAAGGCTGTAAAGATCACTGTACAATGTGTGACGTGTGTGTGGAATGTGCCACATGACGGGACCAGCTTTACAACATCAGTACCGTGTGATGCCGTGTCTGAAACTACCCATCCAGCAGGATAACAAGATAGACCAACCCACGTGAGAGTGGTTGTTTCTGGGTGGTGGGATTTTTGTCTGTGCTTTGATATGTTTTCCTTTTTAAAAAATAATGAACATGGAGCATTTTTCATAAAAAGCACAGCAATATTTTTAAAAGATTTATTTTAAGGTTAATGGTCTGATGCATGAAATTTGTGCAGGGGGGGGGGGGGGGGGGTTGTGTCCCTCAGCCCAGCCTGCACCCTCTCAAATCGGACATCCCTCTTGCAATCTGGGACTGCTGGTTCCTAACTGCTCACCTGCCTGCCAGCCTGATCTCCCTAACTGCTCTCCCTTACTGGCCTGATCGCCCCTAACCACTTCTGCCTTGACCCCGCCACAATGGCTTTGTCTGAAAGGATGTCCGCAAAGTTGTCCAGAAGTTGTTCAGTCTAATTAGCATATTACCCTTTTATTAGTGTAGATTAACTATCACTAACTGGAGGAGCTAGATGGAAGTAAATGATAGGAAAGGGCAGGACCAGCCTTTATCTCTAACTTTCCCTCCATTTTAAGGTTTGGAATCGATGGGTGTGATGCTTGAAGGTTTACGTTTGTAAAAGGCAGCTTTTCAGATGACCCATTTATGTCCTGCAGGTACTGAAATCGGGTCGTCTTGTTCCACATTGAACTCGGACAGCACGGCTGTTTTCACAGAGTGTCCGCCTTAGCTATTGCTGTGTCATGGCCTCGCCCTGGGCAAATTCACACCAGCTCCTGACTTACGTCTGCACCCTCCATGTACCGCGTTATCTGTCGTGCGTGTGACAAACAGCACACTCACCTTTCTGCAGACAAAGTCACCAGGTAAGTAGATGGTGGATCTCAACCTGAGCAGCAGGTCATGGAGCATCTGTGTGTCACAGCCCTGCAGGGAAGAGCAAGGGAGAGAAGCAGTTCTTGTCGTTGCAGCTAACAGGCCAATATTCCAAAGGACGTCAGAATGCAGTGGAGGTGGAGAGCAGCAGACGACTCGTGTTAACACTGACATGCTAGTTCCAGTGGGAGTGGGCTCTTCTTGACCCAGGATATAGGAAACAAACCCGAGCCTACAGTACAGCAAGAGCTTGGGTGCTGGGTGCTGGACGTGGGTGTCAATCCTGTCTCCAGCCTCTATGGCTGCCTGACCGTGCATGCTCTCCATTTCCCGATCTGTTAAATGAGGTGGAAATAACACTCACCTCATAATGGCAAAATTTTACTCCTGCAAAACCTAATGCTTAATTGGTGATAGCTAGCTGTTCATGATTGTGATAATAATTATTAGTAGTGTATTAAGACTTTCATATATCAAAATCTTGGCTGAATTTTTTTCTTGTAACATTTCATACTGTTGTCAGACATTATCTAAGGTCTGATGTCTCCCCTTCCTGACTCAGTTATCATCACCTCACAGGTAGGATGATAGACTCAAAATCAATGATCTCTGGGGTAATGACTGTTCACTTGGACCTTAATAGTGTGACACAGGCTAGCTTTGTTAGAATACATGCTTGTGTTTGATATCTGCCCACATAATTTTAGTTTATCGACGTGGAAGGCTAAATAAAGCTTCCCTTTCCGTGGTGCCTGGAAGCTCGGGCTTTCCCCAGGCCCTTTCCTCTCTCCCCCTGGAGCCGCCTGCGGACAGCGGCTTCCTGCTTGCGGTGGTCCTGCCCTCCCGCAGGGACTGAGAAGCAGGGTTTGTGCCAGTTGTGATGGTTCTCATTCTCTTGGCAGGCAGTTCTCAGTAATGACGTCAGTGGCAACCAGCGGGCCTAGATCCATAGGAAGTTTAGGCCTCAGGGTTGCTTGACGGATAAGGAAAGTTAATAATTTATGAGAGAAACCAAGATGGCGGCATAGGTAAACACCTAAACTGCAGCCTCACACAATTTCAAAAATACAAATAAAGACAAAGCGGACATCATCCAGAACCTTAGGAAAGCTGACTGACTGGAAATTCTACAACTACCCTGTTTCCCCGAAAATAAGACAGTGTCTTATATTAATTTTTTCTCCCAAAGTTGTGCTAGGTCTTATTTTCAGGGGATGTCTTATCTTTCCATGCGCTAGGTCTTATTTTCGGAGGATATCTTATTTTCAGGGAAACATGGTAGAAGGAAAGAGAAAACCACAAGGAAAATCAGAGGAGCTGTAAAAGCCTGAAGTACAGAGACATGGGTGTGTGCGCATGCAGAGAGGACATAGCTGGAGAGGATGAGGCAGCTCAGAGCCTGGCTGGCGTTCTCTAGTGGGAAGGAGATAAAAGCTCCAGACTGCACTGAACTCTAGTTCCTACTGCACTGAACCCCAGTACCAGACGAGACCCTGGGGACCCAGGCTCATACAGGGAGAATCTGGGCTATAAGGCAGAAACTCAGGGGAGTGACGAAAGGCAGAGCTACGGAGGCGTGCACGTGAATGCACGCAGAGAACGGACTGTTGACTGTGCCACTGGATTGCCCTAGAGCACATGTGTCAAACACAAGGCCCGCGGGCCAAATCCGTCCCGCCAGGCCTTGCAATGTGGCCCGCACCGCGCTGTCATCACTGCACTCCGCTGCGTTTCCATCACAATGACAGTTTATGACTGTTCAGTAAACCATTCGGCCCGCGATTTAGGCTGGATTTTAGATTTTGGCCCCTTCTCTGATTGAGTTCGACACCCCTACTCTAAAAGGTGCTTGCAGCGATAGGGTGGGGCTGATAGGAAGCCAAGGCTGTAGACTCCACCCTGAAACTCCACCCCATCTAAGCTGAGCACAGAGGCTTTTGCAAATTTGCAAGTCTAGTCGAATAAGGCTGTCTCCTGGCATAAACACAGCTGATCCATAAAACACTTAAAAATAGAAATTAAAATAAGTTATCATGGAGGAGGGGAAGTTGCCAGCCTCAGAGGACCGAATCGCCCCTTGTTAGCTTCATACTTGGGCTTGCTGGAACTACACGCAGTCTGCAAGGAAGAGAGTTATTTTTAAGAAAAAGAAAAGGAAACTATTTTGATTTGACTATTCATTTCTGCGCTTTAGAAACTGATCACCCATGCACAAGCAGCGAGTCTTACTGATTAGTCACAGCTGATCGAAGCAAAATCTTAGTAAAAATATGACTCTAATCCTTCCTTCTTTGGTGAAGAGGAAACCCCCATGAGCTCAAGGTCTGACCGCGGTAGAAAGGCGGGCTGAGTGCGTTATGGTGCGGGTGAGGGTAACAGGCCGCAAGGGGAGCAGAGACCCACCGGCCAGCCCATGCACCCGCGGGGGGGGGGGGGGGGGGGGGGGGGGGGGTGGGGGGGCGAGTCCTGCCTGAGGGTCCTGGAGGAGGTGCGGAGCGGAGGGTCAGAGGGCGCGCCCTCCGGCTCAGCCCGTGGGGCAGCAGCGCCAGCTGGGCCTCTGCCAGCGGCCGGTCCCGCTGCTCTGGCCCCGGAGGCCGGAGAGGTCTGTCCTCCCGGCGGCCGGGACTCGCTCTCTGCGGCTCCAGTCACGTCACGGTGGCCAGCTTCAGGCAGGCGAACAGATCATTAGACTCTGATGACGTAAAGCAGAGCCCCTCCATGACGTGGCGGCCCTCACCCAATCAGAAGAAGCCTGGCGGGAAAGCAGACTGCCCTCCTGCCAAGAGGGATGTGCTCCCCCCCACACCCCCCCACCCCACCCCCGCTCCCCGGGCCCTGCCGGAGGCCTCCTCCCGCGTGCTGGCTGCCTCCCCAGGAGCCTCCCGGACCCAGGCCCCGGGCGCCCGCATGCGTGCCGGGGAGGCCGGGCTGCGGACCCCTCAGCGGCCTGCCGGACCGGCGGCGCTGGCCCTGCGGCCGGGCGAGGTGGCCTTTGCCGGCATCACCCACTCGGGGCGGAGAGATGCATTTCCCCGGAGGCGGGAGAGGCCCGCGCACACCTTAAAGCTTTTGGCGCTTTTTAATGTGAACACAACACAAAACGGAAGCAGAGCCCTGTGTTTGGAGAAAGGGAGGCAAGTCAGTGCACACTCAGTCTCTGTGCTGCGGGCCGGCCAGGTCCCTGCACCTGCCTCCGGCCGCAGTTACAAAGCGGGACCCTGCTGAGACTGCAGACGGAGCCACGCTCTAGACCCACTGTTCCTGGTCACCCCTCAGGCATGCGGTCCGTGGTCCGAGCACCTGGACTTGCCTGCACCTGAAGAGGCGACACGGAGCAGGGAGCCGGCCTCGGCCTGGCCTCTCTCCAGCCCTTTCCAGACACAGATTCCTTTTCAGGGAGAATGCAAGACGTGAGGCTTTCACCCGGGAGAGGCCCCCTCTGCTGCCCCTGGAGAACCGGCCACTCCCGGTCTCTGTGAGCAGGAATGAATGCATGCTCCCTGCCCCCTTCACCCCTGACCCAGCTACAGCATGGCCACACCCGCAGCCTGCCCCACCACTGTCCCCATTCACGGCTGGTGACTCAGAGAACTTCTCCGTCTGCGAACAGGTTACCCCCATTGTGCGTCTCTGTTGGAGCCTCCCCTGCACAGGCACACAGCCTCCCACACACACCCGCATGGCCGCCCTGCACTGGGCATGGGCCTCAGGCAACATGTGACTCACTCAGAGGCAATACAATGGGGTGTCTACCTATCTATCTATCTATCTATCATCTATCTATCTATCTATCTATCTATCTATGTCTATCAATCGTCTATCATCTATCTATCTATCTATCTATCTCTATCAATCATCTATCACAGCGTTTTTCAACCGCTGTTCCGTGGCACACTTGTGTGCCGCGAGATGTTGCCAGGTGTGCCGTAGGTGCAGACAAGACAAGAATTTTATAATTTTTCACTATTTTGTTTACTTAATATTTCATAATAAAGTAATTATAAAATACTTTCTTTGTGTTTATTTGATTCCTATTCAAGAGAATTACTTTATATATAGTCAATATAGGCACAGAGTTAAATTTTTTAACATTTTCTAATGGTGGTGTGCCTCGTGATTTTTTTCATGAAACAAGTGTGCCTTTGCCCAAAAAAGGTTGAAAAACACTGATCTATCATCTATCTATCTCTATCAATCATCTATCTATTATCTATCTATCTATCAATCATCTATCTATTATCTATCTATCTATCAATTATCTATCTATTATCTATCAATTATCTATCTATCTATCAACCACCTATCTATCATCTATCTATCTCTATCAATCATCTATCTATCTCTATCAATCACCTATCTATCATCTATCTATCTATCTCTATCAATCATCTGTCTATCTATTATCTATCTATCTATCTATCTATCTATCAATTATCTATCTATCTATCTATCTATCTATCTATCTATCTATCTAAAAGCCTAAGCGACCAAATGGACCACCGAACAGGCTTCGTGGGGTGCTAGGCTGGCAGAAGGGTTAGTGAGGGGCGATTAAACAGTAGGCTGCACGGGGTGACCAATTCCACATTGAAGGCAGTTGGGGTGACCAGGCTGGCGGGTGAGGGGCAGTAAGGGGTGACAAGGCCAGCTGGGGAGGGAGGCAGTTGGGGGTGAACAGGCAGGCAGGTGAGCAGCTAGGAGCCAGTGGTCAGGATTTTGAGAGGGATGTCCGACGGCTGGTTTAGGCCCAATCTACAGAATCGGGCCTATATCGGCAGTTGGACATCTCCCAAGGAGTCCCGGGTTAGAGAGGGCGCAGGCTGGGCTGAGGGGATCTCCCCTCTGCATATTTTGTGCACCGAGCCTCTAGTAAGTCATATAACTGATAAGCAGAAGGATCACTACTCAGCCTATTCCTTCCTAAATAAGTAACACAGTTGTATAAACTACTAAGATAGTCTGCACCAGAATGGAAAGATGGCGTGCCTGCGTAGTTCTACCTCGCGTGGCTTTACAAGAAAACACACCTTACATTTAACAGAAGTGTAAAT